AATAGGTCTACGCGGAAGGTGGCTGGGGGCCAAACTCGTCGCGAGCCACGGTTGAGTAAATCACATGCAGCACCCTTTCCCGCAGGCAAGCGTCAAAGGTTCCAAGTACACGCGGAACGTCCGTTGCGTCTAGACGCTGGAGACATTTCCTGTTCGCGTGGGGCGCAGCTGCAAACGACGACCCTGCCGTGTTCATGCAGCAGAGCGATGTTTAACTACCTTCAGATATGCGACAACCATTGCCAGCGCAACGCAAGCGTTGAGTTTGCCGCGCAACGCGTGCAAAGCCATGCCATTCGAGTTTGCAAGCGCAGACACTTTGTGGAGGGGTGTGGCTTACAAAACTAATATTGCAGAATTGTAGCTGACATCAGCCAGCTACCCCCGACGTGGAAAACCTCTTCTCAATAACACATTTTTCCACTTCAATGAACTTTGATCATGTGTCAGTACATTGTGGTTTACCGCTTCGCGCAGCGACCGCTCGTTTCCAGTCTAGAGACCTCTGCAATATAGAGGCGCTACTCATAGGATATACTCAAAGAGTCAGTCTACACAGCTTCTGGATTCACGCGAAATGTCCTACATCTCTATAAACCTGCATCGCAAAGTCACGCAAAGACCCGCCAGGAAGCAACCACTCGCCGAAGAGCGTGTCTCTGTGGAAGATTCAACGCTTGCGATGACATAGATCAGCAGCCTGACTTCTAATTCTAGCTATCTAGTAGTAAATGCAAGCCTATTATGCTTCTCTACACTCGCAGCTGTCGCTTCTGGCGCAGAATGCAAACTCATGAAAATGAACTTCATCCCCGTCATCCTGTTTGAGCACATGGATCGGTTACACTGCCCAGGTGTACGCCTACGCAAACTCGTCTTGCTCTTCCTTTTCCCCTTTTGCTGCAACCGCCATAGAAGCTAGGCCGGATGCGGTTGTTCCGGCCACGGCCACCCGGCCATATAGCCAGTAGGTCACGACCGTTCAGCCACGACGAGGTAGCCCGAAAGCGCAGCAGGTGAGGAAATAATGTCACGAGGAGGATGAATGTGATGAGGAGAGGCGCGTTTTTTCTCCATGCAGTTCGCGTACTATGCACGCGAGGGTAAATCATGATCGTCGCTGCTACTTGAAAGCTCTCTACGCTGCTGCCTCTGCTGCCATGATCATGTCTGTCCACGTAGATTTCAATCGTGATCATCGCTGCTTGAACACCGTGGATGTATAATTGCAGAAGTTTGTGTTGCGCAGGATAGAAGCTGAGTTTCCGCGTGCCTTGATGGTGCAAAAAAAGCGACGAAAGTGTTTGCAATAGGCATTGCTTGCGTTCACGGCGGCAAAAACTTCCAGAACATCGTCCCCAAGGTCACGATCTGCAATCCCGCTTAAAGCAAAATTCAGCGTAGCTTTTTGTTGAACTTGTTCCACACCCAGACGGCGAAGCCCGTGCTTGTATATAAACCGACGGGTATGGGTATACGTGGACGGTGACTGAGGGCCAAACTCGTCAGTGACGAGCCACATTTGCAATGGATCTCAAGATTGATTACATCAAAGCATCCTTTACCGCAAACAAGCATCAAAGATTCCAAATGCACACAGAACATCCGATGCGTCTACTCGCTGGAGGCATTTCCTGGTCGCGCGGGGTGCAGCCGCAAATGACGACCCTGGTCGTGCAGCAGAGCGACGTTTATAATCCGATATTCTATTTTAGAAGAAATGCATTGAATATTTCAAAAAGGAGGTGCAATTTGAGCGGTTTCCAAGCAAGGGTTTCAATAGAAGAAATACATGGTGCAAGAGGTCGTTTGTTGATGCTTTTTTGATGCTTTTTGGGGACTCTGAACTCCAATATCTTCTATTTGAACGGTCTTGCCAGAGAAGCAGGATTCCATGATATTTACAGTGTGGAAAAATTTACCCTGGACACACTGGGCAAGCCAAGCCCAAAAATCAGAGGACCTAGTGCACCATCCAAGATTTCCAGAATCCCGGTACAAAACGGTCAAAAACTTTGAGTTCTTTTAAAGCTTTTTCTGAAGCTCAGATCCACAAGACAGCAGAACAACAAGTGAAGGTCAAATAGAAGATATTGCCAAAGCAACCAAGCACATCAAATAGAAGAAATGTATATGAACATTTTGGCGTTGAAAAGGTAGGTCTGGCAATATCTTCTAATTGAAACTGAATGCAGAGCAGCCTTTTCCTACCCCATGACTCCATCTTCAGAGCTTTGCTCTGAGTCATGCCTGCGCCAAGCAGACCTTCCCAGTCAGGAACGACTATATATCTATCTATCGAAATGTCTATCTGTTAGATCTATTTCTCAATCTTTGCATATTTCCCAGAGATGCCATCTGCACTGAAGATACAGCGGACCGGCGAGGAAGAAAACAATCTGCATGGACCAAAAACGAAATCAAATAGAAGCTCCAAAACAAGCATTTCAAAAAGAAGAGGTACTTCACCGGACAGATTTCAAACAGAAGATATTAGATATTAGGCTATTTAGTGGTTTTTGCAAAAGTAGCTATATAGCATGATATAACGTCTTTTACACTCCGGCGAAGCCCTGTTCTTCGCGCAACGAAAGCCATTTCAAACAGAATATGGAAATTCTGAATATTCGGGAATTTCTTTTATCCTTGAGGTTTGGATTATAATTACCTTCAGATATGCGACAGCCATTTCCAGCGCAATGCGCTCATTGAGTTTGCCACGCAAAGCACGCAAAGCCGTGCCATTCGAGTTTGCTAGCGCAGAAACTTGTGGAGGGGTGTAGCTTACAAAACTAATATTGCAGAATTGTAGCTGACATCAGCCAACTACCCGATGTGGAAAGGCTCTTCTCAGTAACATATTTTTCCACCTCACTGAAGCTTGATCATTTGTCAGTACACTATGACTTACCGTGCCGCGCAGCGATAGCTCGTTGCCACTCTACACCCCTCCGCAACATAGAGACGCTTCACATTCCAAACGTATGCTCAAAGAGTAAGTTTACACAGCGTCTGGAATCACGCGAAATACCCTATACATCTCTAAATCTGCATCGCAAAGTAACGCAAAGACCCGCCAGGAAGCAACCACTCACCGTAGAGCGTGTCTCTATTAAGGACTCAATGCTTGCAGTGACATAGATCAGCCTGACTTTCAGCTATCTAGTAGTAAGCGCAAGCTTGTTTTGCTTCTCTGCGTTCGCCGCTGTCACTTCTGATGCAGAATGCAAACTTTTGAAACAGAACTTCATCCATTACACTGCGCCCACGTGTGTGCAAACTCGTTTTGGTCTTCCTTTTCCCCTTTTGCAGCGACCACCATAGAAGCAGCCAGTAGGTCACGACTGTCCGGTCACAGCCACGGCCACGGCCACGCGGCCACGGCCACGTGGCCATATCCGGCCACGCAGCCATCCGACCGCGTCCTTGGCCAGGTCCGGCCACGGCCAATCCAGCCACAGCCATCCGGCCACGGCCACGGCCATCCGGCCACGGACACGGCCACCCGGTCACCGCCACGGCCACGGCCATCCGGCCACGGCCACGGCGCACGGCCACGGCCATCCGGCCACGGCCAGCCGGCCACGGCCAGCCGCCACGGGCCAGGCCACGCACGAAAAAAATCAATCCTCCAGTTGGTCATCTTTTGGTGGTGTCTCGGTCATGTTTCGGCGGCGTCTTGCTCATGTAGTGCGCCGGCTATGTTTTCCAGTTCTTGTTTGTTATGTTTTGTTGGTTTGGTGGCGTATCGATTCTGTCTTCACAGTGGTTCGCTGATGTTTTGGTGGCGTCTCGCTTATGTTGTGGCTTTCGTGATAATATCTTGTTACCCTCTGTAAAGTCTTTATTCCTTATAGTCCTTGTGCGAATCGAATTTGCACGCATATGTGAGACATGGTTGTATATAGTATATGTGTGCACACACATCTTCTTGGTGCCATTTTTGTTTTCTCCGTGAAGAAATGGTCCTTCAGACGTATAGACCATGAATGAACAAACACTTGAGCACTTGAACATACAATTCAGCCATCGGCGAACATTCCTTAAATGCTTCGTGGTCTATGGAACATACTATATAATTTTACTTGGATATTGATTTTGTTTGCGTAGTTTTGTGTAAAAACTATTGGATTGCATTTCGCTTTTTGTGTGTTTAAAGAACTGTCCTTGAACTTCGATGTGTGAAAGAACAATGCAATGAACAACCACGCACAAAAATTGTGCTAAATCTTGGTGGATGCTTTGCTATCGGGGTTGTCAGCTGTGTTGATTGATATTATCTCGTCTCGGTGATGCTCTGGTTGTCCTAGTTGTGCATGTACGTTTTTTGGCAGGGGTTCGATCTTGTTTGGTCGGTCATGTTTGGTCTCTCCCTTATGTTTCGTTGGTGTCGGATTTCCGTACTGTAGGTCGTGTTTTTTTTGACAGTATCTCGGTTGGTTCTTTTGTAGTGATGTTTTGGTGGTCATGTTGGTTTCTCAGTCGCATTTTGGCAGCTGTTACGTATCTGAACAATTAGTTTTTGTACATTTTTTGTAGTGTCTCACAAGCGTAGTATCCGAATCAGTCATGCCTTGGTTGCGTCTTGGGCATGGTTTACTATTGTTTTGACGACATCTGGTTCAGGCGTTGGCATTGCGTCTCTTGTGTTTAGAGAGTCAGGGCCTGGTTTAAACTATATATGTTACAACTTGCCCCTAACTTTCGGGTATGCTTGCGTTTGGATGGATTGAACATATTTCATACTGGCATGCGTTGCAACGTTTGTCCACTCGAACATAGCTTGGTGGCTCGCATCAGATTTGGATAACGCAGTCTGCCGCATGCTTCAACCCCCATGGTTGCGTGCGCACTAAACAAGCAGAAATCGTGCATTTAATTATATAGTTTGCACATCTATCGCGTAATTATACAGATTAACTTGAACCCAATTGTGATTTGAGTCTGAGCTTTTCCTTTCCTTGTTTGTTGATCTTGTTTGTAATGTTCATGCTGTGAAGGCCTTTTGCCAGCGCCAAATGTGGCAAGCGAAGATGATGCTGATCAAAGCAATCGAGCACCGCAGCCGCAGCCGGTACCTTTTGGTAGTGGCGTGGCCACCGGGATGGCGTGTCCAGCTGGCAAAACATCGCGGCCGGACACTTGTTTCATGACACATCGCTACGCCCACTCACAGCATTGTGGGGTGCAGCCTGTGGTTGCCAAATTCCATATGACATTCTTCATTGTACTGTACAATTTGCAACTCAAAATCGTTTGTATGTGTCAATCCACATTGGATATTTACACTTAGCAAGGTTCCTGGGGTTTGGCGACCACAGGATCACCCTGAGTCATTGTTTTTAGTTTGGTTGTTTGCGATTCCGGAACATTTCTGGGTTTGTAGTTGTTAGTTTGTTTTTGTTTTGTTTTTTTTACACATTCTCCTACTAAGAACACTAGTCTTACTAGGCAGCAAAAAGGATGAGCGTCCAGTGCTAATAATTGACTTACGCAAAGAAAACAAGTAATCATAAAGGTTCCAAAACACTGAGTCAAATGTTTCACAAATTGTTTCAGGTGAAGCAGGAGATTGCCTACCTTGCACGCCGCATTGACGAAGTGGGGCGATATTTTTTAGCACTGGAGTCCATGGTTGGCTTCCTGATTGATTGGAGCACGTGTGCGTTCTGTAACATGGTGTTTTCCTATTAAAACACATACTGAAAAGAACACTGACACCAAGAGAATGACATGTGAATGTTACATGTGCGCGGAGCACTTTAGGCTCAGGAGCCTTGGGGCCAGTCCTGGAGCGCTGCTTGAAGGACTTGGAGGAGTGCCTTCAAGAGCCTGACAAGTTGAAGGACCCTGTTTGCATTGTCAGATGGTTTTTAGATCATCTAAAATAATGTCATACAGGTGTTTTCGAGAGGCCAGGCTGGAAGCTGGACATATTGCGGCGAGATGGTGTGTGCGTCAAGTGTGGGGTATTATAAATAACGTCATCATCAATCAGGAGCCCAGCACATCTTTAGTGTGCTCCGGCTCCTTGCAGTGGGAACCCCCTTTAGTGTGCCTGCCTCACTCCCTCCCAGAATATACAGGACACGTTTGTCCCTTTGAGCTTTATGGCATCAACCTTTTGCTCAGCCCGTAACGTCAAACGTGTTTGGCGGTGTTTGGATGTATTAGCACTAACACCAAGTGTGAGGAACACTTGGACGGGGGAAGGTGCTGAGTGACTAAGCTCTTTCACCAGCGGCACGGGCAGGGAAGGGAACACCCAACATGTTTGAACGGCCAAGGTTTGAGGGAGGGTTGTCTCCACAAAACCAGGTATATATACATATCTATAAACACTGACTCGGTACTCGTGTCTCCCTGCGTGGTGTATGGATCGCCGCAGTTCCTGCTGTGTGGTGTTGCCCTACCAAGCTTGTGTCCTTGCCTGTCTCTGGTAATCTCCCTGCTCGTCCCAAGCTTGTCTCTCTTTGTCTTGCGTGTTTGATCTGCGGTTTGCTTGCCACTGCCGTCCTGTGTTCCAAGCTTCTGCTTGTCTCTTGCGCGTGTGAGCAACATGCTATCTGGGGCCTGAGTCTATGCCAGTGTAATGAATAAAGGTTTAAACATAATTTGCTAGGCAAAGACAACATGTAGCAAAACAAAGGTCTGAAAAAGGTCTGTGTCTAAAGAAAACAAGATCTAAACATGTCGAAACAAAGGGTCTGCAACAATTTCAAACAACTCTTACAAAGCAACACGGCCGTGAAAAGGTCTGTTGAAACATAGTCTTTTAAAGCATGTCTAAAATAAATACGAGTTAAACAAGGTTTATGTTACATAAAAGGTCGTTAAATCATGTCAATAATATTATGTATTTTTAACGATATATATATATAAAGAAACAAGGTCAACAAAAGTCCAAATAAACATGTCAAAAGAGAAAGGTCCAAAGAAAGGTCTATGAACAAATGGTATGGGAATCGACTCGAATCGAAGGATGCTGATGAGGTGCAAAGTTTCATCGATGCTGCCGTCCGACTGGGCTTGAGCCCGGCAAGGTACAAGCCATTGCAGAATCGCTTGCTTCTCGGAATTGAACTCATGAATCGAACATAATCAGGCCGATTTCATTTTTCTGAGTACTTTTTGCAGTATGGCGTTTTTTGATTGGATTTCTTTTCCTGGCAAGTGTTTGGTCCATTCATTCAAACATCGTGACTGGGCGACTTCGCCGTGAGGTCTTGGCTTAACCATGGCCGGCGTCACCAAGAGATCCAAACCGAGTTGGCCACAGCTGCCCCATTTGCTGACGATGCAGTGGGACTTCAACAGTTGCCCAGCACAACTGGCCATTGGCCGTCCGTGTGTTTATAATAAAACTGCACAGAATGATAGTTTCACGGAATCATTTTTCAAAAGCTAATCTTCTTCCCAGGAGTATCGACGACGGTGTCAGGAGCGGCATCGGTGCACAAGAGCTGCAGCGAGCCAGGCAGCGTTTGGATCAGCTGAAGGAGAACGAGACCAATGAAGAAATGTTACGGGCAGCATGCAGAGGTGATTTCACCACAGTTGAATTGAAACTCAGAAAAGGTGCAGACTGCAACTGGCAACAAAAAACCAGTGGGTACTCCTTGTGGCATATTGCTGCAGACACCGGTGACCTTACTCTGGCAAATTTGGCCAAATCCTTCAATGCTCGAACGACCTTGCTTGACAGATCTGGTTGGACCAGTTTGATGGTTGCCTCTGCCAATCATGATCGCCGTCTTGTTCGAGCCTTGCTCGATGCCGGTGCAGATCCTGGTGCAACGAGTGCCAGTGTTGAGATGGTGCTGGAGTGCCATGCCGAGGAGGAGTTGCAATCTATCAAAGCAAACCTTGATGTCACAGGACGACCCTTGATTTGTTTATAATATTGTTGTATAATTTAATGATATTATACATATATATATATGGTAGTCGATCGAAAGGTCGACATAAGGCCTATGTCACTGAGGGCCTCTTCAAGTTGTTCGCGAATGTTCTTTTTTGAGTTCGCAAAAGTAACATTGTTTATTCGCGAAAGATTTACTAATACTCTATATATGTTAGAAATATATACTTCATACTTCCTTCACTCAGGAGGAGCCTTGATTCCTGACTTTCGATGCAGTCTTTAGGCTTCTAGCTCACTCACATTGGTGATTTGGCTTGGCCATGCTCCTAGGCACAGTCAGTCATCAGTGACACATTCACAAGCCTTTACATTGCACAATATTGCGCAATCCCTAGGCCGTATAGTAACTCTTTTGTTGTTCGCTTTGGGCCTAGAAACTCACCAATGACGCGACATTTTTTGGCGAAAGATTCGTGAAAGTTCCGCGAAAGCATAGGCGAATGTGAAGGCCTGTTTTGTGGACCCCTGCCCAAGGGACCGGGGTTCGTTGTACACGCGGAATCCGGATCGTGTGCATACGTCTGTCCTGGATCGCTTGTGCGCGCGAAGTCTCGCTGCTGTTCTAGACCAGGATAGGAAGAGACCGGCTAGTTTTGGATGCAGAACAGGCTGCTATGTAGAACCACTATTATAAAGAAGATTTCTGGAGGATATACCCCGCGAAAGTTAAACATGGAGTTCGCGCAAGACTCGCGAAAGTAACTTGTTTGGCGAAGAATTGCCTTTCAGCAAGAAGGAATTTTGATCAACCTCTATATATACACATATAGAGACTATCGGCTTTTTCCAAATGCGTAGCAAAGAGTTCTCATTGAACTTTGGGAGTCTATATAAGGGTAGAGCGTTGTTTGCGTGACATGGCCGTCGTGTTTGCCACCGAGTGCAACTGTTTGCAACCGTTCGCAACTGATCCGGCATGGACTTGGCGGAAAGTGGGTGGCCCCGTGCCATTGGGAATCGGCCAGGACCAGGAACACGCGTGTGTAAACGGTAAGCGCGGCGTGTCGTTGGTGAGCGGGGCGATTTGTAGAGTGGCCCGATCCCACAAGAGTGACCCACAAGAGTGCACCACAAGACTACAAGGGTGTCCTCGAGAGTGTCCCACACGAGTGTCCCTCAAAAACGCCCCTCAGGAGTGACAGACAAGACTTTCCCACAAGAGTGGAGTGTCCCACAAGAGTGTACAAGAGTGTCCCACAAAAATATTGTGAAGGGCGCCCCGGAGAGTGTCCCGCAAGAATGTGCCACAAGACTGTCCCACAAGAGCCAAGAGTGTCTCACAAGAGTGTGCTGCAAGAGTGCCTTCCAAGAGTGTCCCACAAGAGTGTCGTCAATGCTTGGCCGTTTGTTTTCAAGTGCGTGTGTGCATTCGGGTTCGCGGGCCCCATCTGGCTTCTGGCAAAAAGCTACCACATCACAAGTGAACAACCGCCAAAACGTGCGTGAACCTGCAAAAAAAAACGGCAGGCGGAGCCTCAAAGGCGATGGCGATAGCCAAATCCCTGCAGTTTTTTTGATATGTTCAGCTATGTTGACATTGCGGCGGCTAAAACCTGCAAAAGAGACAGGCCCCTGTCAAGAGCGATAACCTTGCTGAATCATGTCCTCTACTTGACAGTACGTTTTGGCAGAAACTCATCTGAGGATTGGAGAGCTATCTTGCGACTCCAAGTCTTCCATCTTTAGACACCGGTGACCAGCTCCTTGCAGGCGAAGAACTTCTACTGCCTACCTTTCGCCGAGTCTCTGGGCGAACAGCATTGCATGTGGCCCTTTTGCGTCCTGGCCATGAGAGTGGCCGGCTTGCAGTGCTCAAGGAGATTCTTTCTCAAGATGTCCCTGGTATCGTGAATGCGCAGGATGACTTGGGACAAAGTCCTTTGTGGTATGCTGCCAAAGGAGGTTTCATTGGATGTGCCAGAAGTCTGCTTCGGGCAGGTGCTTTCGTTTCGCTGGGGTCCATGTCTTCTTTGCAAGCTGCCATGAGGTTTCTGTCTGCAACAGGCAGCACCAGGCTGACTTCCCGTGGTGAAGACATCTTTCGTTTGCTCCTTCGAAACGGAGGGTCCGATTGTGCTGAACAAGTCAGAGACGCTGAGACCTTTTTGGACACAGACTTGGCAGTGTGTAACTTGGAGACAGAGGAAGGCAGGAAACTCATCGACACAAGAATCAGCTGGTCAAGGTCTGGCGTTTACATTGTTGTTTCAGGTATTTTTGTTTCAATGTATCGCGATTCCAATGCTTTGATACGCTTGGGTGGTCTGGATACACATTACACCTCTGTTCGTGAAGTCATCGAAGTATGGTTCCCAAACCCGAAACTATACAGCTTGCTGGCGTGAAATTTCTACAAAGAATTCTACATGCTGTCCATCCGGCGGCGTGCGCATCACGCTTATACCCTGCCTCTTCCAAGCGCCTTTTATAACTCACCATGTGAGCGGTTGATTGACCAGCGCTTAGTGGCTTTCCCTGTACCAGAGCTGCTCTCCCAACGCAATGCCCATTACCAAAACACTGGCGTGCCATGTTTTGTAATATGCCCCTAACAAATGTTCAAAAACTTTAAAGTAAGTTTGGTCTTGGATAGACCATGTCGGGCTGTGGATACAAGCAAGTACATATTACTTGTAGCCTCTAGCAGACAAAAATTGTAAGAAAGACAAAACAAGTTTGGTCTTCCTTGCAAAGGACGACGCCTGTGGTAGTCATCCATTCTTTCCAATTACGGCAGATTTGGCTTCAGTGTCTGGATTTTCGGTGATAGTGATATTATCTATATATAATACATAGTTTGAGGGTATGCAGATGTGTCTTTGATCCTGGAAATCTATTCACGGTGCCTCGCGACGACAACCGCCCGCGCTGGGCGCCAGGAAACGTACAATCGCTCTATTTTCCGACCCCCTTCAAGCTGTACATTTTTCATTTGTCCAACTTATATCCAACAAAGCCTGCAGTTTTTTTCCCGTATTTCACCGTATATTTTTTCATTCATCAATTGCAACATATTATCATCTCTAGGTCATCATGCATATTGTGAAGTTGATTGTAATCACTCTTGTGGAACGCAGCGGTCCTAAGCAGCTGCTGCTTTTTGGGCCGTGTGGCATACTCACCCACCAGCCAGAGACCTTGCTTTAGATTTTCAGATAGGAATGTCAGCCGTCTATTTTAGGGGCTCGACAGCGGGCCACCAGGGGGCCTAGAGGGAGGCGGCAGAGGTAAAGGTAAACAGGTGAGAGCAGGTGTCGGCGGTGGTTTTTTATTGTGGTGCTGTTTTGGTTGTTGTGGTGGTGGCGGTGGTTGTTGTTGCTTAAAAAAAGAAAATGCTAATAGTGCAAGGCAACTTGGGCAGCGTAACGCACCACAGTGCCACTTGCAGCAGTCTTGAGACGAGCGTATTAAAGAAATTGAAAAATTGAAGCATTGTGTTTTGCAAAAACGCTAAGAACCATGCGTTTTTCGATGCTTTTTGTGCCTGCGCTAGTCTCCGATTCGCGAGGTTTTCTAGCCTTCCATTTCGCCTGAGAAGGCCTCCAAGCCTCCTCCCCAGTGGCCCTGCCTGCAGGAATTACTTGAGGTACCGATGATCATGGTAGGAAGATCGGCGGCAACTGCAACCGTCCGTGCCCTCCAGGCAGCCGCCTTCGGCGGCGGGGTCCTTGTCCTCTGCCGTTTTTTCGTTCTTTACCTCTTTCTCATTTTCTCCCTCTCCCTCTCCCTCCTACCTTTCTCTTTCTCTCTCTTTCCTTCTCTCCCTTTCACTTTCTCTTCCTTGTTCTCTTTCTCTCTTTCTTTCTCTTCCTTGTTCTCTTTCTCTGTTTCCTTCTCTTGCTCTTGCTCTTTTTCTTTCTCTTGCTCTGTCTCTTTCTCTTTCTCTGTCTCTTTCTCTTCTTTTTGCCCTTTCTCTTTTTGTTTCCCTGACGAAGAGAAGGAGAGCAAGCAAAAACGAACAATGCTAATAACGCAAGTCCGCTCGGGCAGCATATCTTGCACCACGGTCATTTGAAAACGACCATCTTGGAGCTATGTTGAAGCTATGTTGATCCATCTTGGAGCGATGTTTATGCTATCTTGAGAATCGTTTCTAAAATACTCCTCCATCCACGCTTCCCAGTGCCCTGCGAGTTTCCAGATGCCTCCGATGGAGCGGGCCCGAACATCCCCAACAAATGTGCCCGTGCTGGGTCGGCGGCTCGCGGCGCGACCTCACCCGCACCTCCGGTAGGAGGGGCCTGCGGCAGTGCCAGGGCCTGCCCAGCCCGATTTGACCACGTCTGGCGTATGCCGGTTGAGCATGTCACGTTTTGAGAGCCAGTGGAGAGAGGAGTGCCAGGTGAGTCAGAGCGCAGAACTTTGCTGGATACCCGGACCCCGCACTTGCTCTGATGGACTCATTATGGATACTCCTGCGCAAGCTGCAAGATGTGACGATTTCTGTTTGTCGCAGCCGTCGTTCTTGTATGGCTGATGATGTTCGTTTGTTGGAAGAGTTTGTTTCGACGAAGCAGTTGCTAAAAAGATCCGCCGGCCTGCCGGCATGTCTTGTGGATGTTCTTGTACTTGTCTTCTTGCTTGCTATTGTCTAATGTTCATTGTTTATGTTGGATTGCTCCTTTTGCCTCGGCTTACGCCAACCGCCGGTTGCACCAAGCCACCATTTTGCCATTTTACACTAACCACCGCTTACACCAAGCCACGGTTTACACCAACCGCCGCTTAAACCAAACCACGGTTTACACCAACCACCGTTTACACCCAACCACGGCTTACAGCAACCACCGTTTACACCGAATGGAGCGACTGCAGAGTGCCGTAGTTGAACATAGTTGAACTGCATCTGCGGTCACAAAGACGCAAAAAACACCTTGGCTTCCCCCCAGTGGCATCTTCCCAAGAAATGGAGGTTTCTCAAGGTTGACACTTGGCACTTTCACTTCATAGTCATAGTGAACACCGTGCTCTCCGAACCATCAGGCAAATCGGGAGCGGGCGCCATTTAACCTGTGCTGGGTCCAGCTGACTCGAAAAGACAAGTCGGGGCATAATACTTTGCCAACCAGCATCCTGCGCCTGCTGTTCGGCGCAGATTTGCTTTAGTTTTTTGACTTACCTTTTCGTCAGGTCGTTGAAGTTGCTCTCTTGAAATGGGGACAAAAGGAACCTTGCTAGCGTACTGTTGTTGAGATATGGTGATCGAACATTTTTCTCGCTGTTGAACCCAGCGGCCCGTATATGGACATTCCTTTACATACCATTTCCCAAACTCAATTGTTCGAACATGCGTTCAAAAAATTTATCCCTTACTTCCAAAACGTCGTCGACGTGCGCCGTCAGTATTCCCATAAGCGTGGTGGGTTGAGCGTTTTTGTTTCGTGCCCACATCAAAACACGGCAAGAGTCTCGCCTCAGAACACCAAGTTCAACAAACGGTTGTCTCAATTTTCGCCACCGCAACCGTGGGGCGTTAGCTGATCGTCTTGGCATATTCCTGGGAGGCCCTCGCGGGGCGGTTTCATGACAAGATTCTGGCAGTCAAGGCCTCCGACAAAAAACAATAATTACTGATGTCACCAGCTTGCAAAACCCATAAAAAAGAGGAAACATTGACGATAACCAAAACCAGTTGAACTCCAATAGCATCAGCCATGAGGACATCCGTGTGAAGAAGATATGTCAGGATCACGGTCTCCCCAGCAGCGCGCGCAGCGTCCAAGTCGAAAAATGATTGCCACATATTGCCGCTCCTTCACTAAAATAGTTTGATCACAGACAAGAAGTGGGTTATATCAGAGCATGGTCGCGTGAATTTACAGTAAGTTTTTCAGGTTTTCGCATGTCTCGCATGTTTCTTATGTTTCCACCTGTTTGTAACTGTTGCATATTTTTGTGCATCTTTGTCATAAGCAATCAGATGTGTTCTAAAACAAATAACACCTCTCAATCCCTACACTGCTGATCATATTTTGTTTCTTGGGGAGAAGTGGCACAAAAGAAATGACATCGTCCACAGCGTAGCTGTGGTCATAGCTGTGCTGATCACTGTCCTGTTTGCAGTAAACACATTATTCAGGCCGCTTCGTAATAACAACCGCCCACCGATGGCTCTCAGACAAAGGTAAAATAAGTTTCTATAATCGCTCTATTTTTGCACCCTTTGATACATTGTTTAGCTATGTCTCACATCCATTTTGCAAGTATTGTTGGATCTACAGTATGTTTCGACCTCCTTGAAATTGTGCATTTCCAAGGGGGTCCAAAAAAAGAGCGATTGTGGACAATAATAAAAGTCTTGCTTGACAACTGCTTTCAGAGAACAACAGTCTTTTTGGGGCTGCACATTATGGCCATATGGAGTTATTGTTGAATTGAAAAATGAAAGAATGTATATGATGTGCGCCCTCTGAACAATGTACAATTTCGAAGGGGTCGAAAAATAGATATTGTATATTTTCAGGTGCCCACAGTTGTTTATACAATTTTATGCATAACTATTCTATTTTGCGACCACCTCGAAATTGTACATTTTTTCAGGGCGCCGCATTATTTACATGTTTGCATGAACATAATTTGGAGCACTAAAAAGAGCTTCTATACCCTGAAAGCAGCGGCAAAATACAATATGATTGAAAGCATGATGATTTTCTACAATGAACCTCCCTGTGGAGACATGTATATATGTATACTGTATATATATATAAGAGAAGAAATCCCTCAGCTGAAACCATCACCAGAAGTTGATGTACTGAACCTTGAATGAGAGGCTTTGCAGATGTGCATGTAGACTTTGGTAAAGATTGAAGCAAAGCATTTTTGGACATAGTCCTATGCTGTGAAATCGTGTACTGTAAACAGTTACATGGCCAGAAATGGCAGACGGCCACTCATACTGATGCCAACTACTTTGGCTCAAGCTTTGGAAAATGGGCTGCTGACGCGACCGGATACGATCGTTCGCGTTTTGAGTCGGCCTACCAGGAGATAGACCAAGGTTTTAGCTTTCAACTGGTTATCAGCCGCAAGAGCTACAAGGAGACCATTGGTTGAAAAACGAGATCATACACATATAGCATCGTGTCAAGCTTGGCATACGGAACACACATACCACGAAGGTGTGAACA